ATAATATGGGCATTGGGTAATTTAGAAAGGAAAGATTAGAGTTGAAATGTGTGAGATTGGTAATGTTTAATAAGAGTTGAATGCTTGAGTTTAGCTATATTAATGGAGATTAACTTGATTGATTATAGTTTTGGCTCTTAGACACCTATTTGGCTTAGAGAATTCAAGCTTGGAAGCTAGTATATTAAAAGGTAAACCTTTGACCTCTTAAAGGTTTGAGGTAACTGGGAAAACTCTACTTTGAATAGTTATATGTTAATTGTAATGTGGATATTAATTATACGTTTAAAATATAAATTTTGACTTGTGAATTAGTGCATCATGCAATGAAAATCTCATATTTATCAACTCACTTGACATATGTCAAGCATGCTAAAGAGATTTCAAATGAATTTTAAATTTGCAAAAGTGATAATTGACATAAGTTGCATGTTTATGATGTGCTTTAAATGAGCGGTTGATAATGGTTTGATGAAGATGAGTAATTGTGATTGAAAAAGGGTGTGTTTTATGTGATATAATTAGAAATAAGAATATACGCTCACTTGGGTAGCGTACGGTCGTGAGTCCAATGTGCCAATTGAGTTTGACTAAATGAAAATGTAAAAATAAGACAATATGTTTATGGTATGATCAGTGGGTAGGAGTTCGCCTAAAGATTGAGAGTGGAAAAAAATTCATATAGAATTTAGGCTGCCCTTTGGTGCACCGGGTTATAACTTTATCTCACAGTTTGTTGAGGGATTGTCCCACAGTTTGTTGAGGGACTAAAATCTAGCTATCTCCACTGGTTCAATGAGGAGAATAGCCTAAGGTATGAGACACCCCAGAGATTCAAGAATGAAAGAAACTGTGATATGATAGTAAGTCATGTGATCTTTGGTCGGGTCACACCTCACGATTGGTGAGCTTTGGTGGTCCAGTGACACAAATGAAACCCTAATCAGTGTTATAACCCACGATTTCGGTCCGAGGAAATAAGGAGGATATGAGGTTGGTTGATCATTTTCTATATATATAAACTTATGATATGTCACACATGTTGAGTTGTGGCAAGTCGTGTGAATAAGAGGTCATGATCACATATCAGATAATATGGTGATAATGTACCTAGTATGTGTGAGATAAAGATGTTGTTAATGAGAACGGATGAGTTATGATATGTGGGTGAACATATTTTAAGTTTTTTTTTTTTTTTGCTTTCATATGTATGTGCTTGATTTATAATTAATATATAACTGCATAGAGTAGGTTTTACCTTAGTTACTAAGTGGCTAGACTCACCCTATTCATTTAACATTTTCAGACTTTAGTTCTGGTACTGAGAAGCAAAAGACTTAAGAAGCTAGATATTAGCATATTCCTATCGTATGCCTCTGGTTTAAATTTATTTTGTGTAATAGTATATAAATGGCAATTCTAAATTGCATGACATCATACTTGCATTATTTTGTTATTATAAATGTCTGATTTGTATTTTAGGCCATGAGTATTTGTGTATGTTGAGATATATATATATATATATATATGTATGTATATATATATATATATATATATGTATGTATATATGTTTATAGGGTCAAAATATTAGTGTAAGTATAGAAATGAAGATTTGAATATGTTTTGATTGATTTGGGTGCAATGCAAAGGAAAATTACCTCCCCCTCTATTTTTGGTAAAAAGGGGTTGAGGAGTGAAAATTTGTTCTACTATTGTTTAGGTGCGTGAGATGTGTTGTATTGATAATTTTAAGTCTAATGTACATGGTCCAGGTGTTAGAAAATACTTTTGGCACTTATTAAGGGTTTTGGACACCCTTTTTATGTAAAAGTTATAAAAAGTGGTTAAAATGTGTTTCAGTGTCTAACTTTTTGGTGTAACTTGTTTTGAAAGTGAAACCTATGCCATTACCTAGTTCATGTAAAAAGCTTTCCGTAGACACCTAAATACATCATTCGGATGTTGGACGAAGAATCAAAATGCATCGAAAGTTTTCCTAATTTTAATGTTAAATGACAGTAGAAATTACTGGTTTTTACATGCAACACGCTGTGGCACATGGCGCCTAAGTCACGGCGTGTGGCACGGAGAGCAACAAGCTACAGTGCATTATTTTATTACACATTAAAAGAATTGTTTTCACTTATTTTTGATTTCTTTTACTCCTCTAAGGTATCATATAACTTATCTTTACTCTATTATAAGAGATCTTGATTGCTTTAAACTCATTGTGATTATGAAAACTTAAAATGTCTTGATTTTAAATTAAAACTTGGTAATCGCTCTTTGAGTTAATCCTTTGATTATCATGAATTTTATGGTTAATTGTGTTTATTGGAGTGAGATTTTACAAAAACCATACACATATTAATTGATTTGAAATTGAAATGTATCTAATTTTTATTTATTTAGTGTGTTTTGTTGTTGAATGACTTTTTATACAAATATTCACACCATATTTTTTATACTTGTGGTGGTGACAAGTTATGTAAATAGGTTTGCAATTTATATTATTTTTTGGGAAGCAGACTACACAAGTACTGTTTAGGTATATAGGATATTTTGTGTGTAAAAAAAGATGCAAATATGGTGTATATATATTGAAATCTAATACTAATGTCTATTTCAAGTTTAATTATGTGCAAGTGTAACTATTGTGATAACATGAAACTACCAAAATCACTAGCATAAAATGGGAATATTATTATTGTAACTTGAGAAAACATGGATCCCACTTAAAAATAGAATTTTTTCAAATATCAAAAAACTTTTGGAATGTTATAAGGTACCTTGTAAATATACTAACGTGACATATAAAAAAGTTTTGGTACATAATATATTAGAAAATATTGCCATAGCAATGTGAACATGAGAGATGATCGGAACCCTTTATAGAATACTGCCGCTGCAACTAATTATAAGAAAGTTTTGGGATGTGCAGCAAAATTCAAATGTCCAAAAGCCCAAATATATTATGGCAATTATGTAGTGTTAGTGAGACTATGTAAACCAAGACACTTGATGAAATTTTGACAAAATTGCATTAAAATTTCAACAAAAAGAAAAGGTTCCCTCAAGGAAATTTTGGTCACTTTGCATGATGATGTTACCGAGATAACTACACCCTGACTTGTTTAAATTACTGCTGGTCTCTGTTTTTTAAACACGGAACAAAGAGCACAAAAGTACATGAGTGATAATACCAAATAGTTTTGAGAGTGGTTTGTAAGGTATAGGTCACGTTTTCTTATTAGAATATAATGAAATAAAATGAATTGAAAAAATTAAAATAAAAATAAACTTAATTATTTTTTTCTCATAATAAGCATGATAAAATTCATTAATATACTACAAATGTAAGAATTATCACATCATTCAAAAATTTTACAAATCATGATTCCTAACTCCATAAATTAAATTACCTCTCCTCCTTATAAATTTGTTCATCCATCTTCTTTGATTATTTTATTTTTATTTTTATTTTTTCAATCCATTATATTTTAATAAACAAATGCAACCCAGGTCTTTTTTTCTTTTCTTTTCTCTTCATGTGGTGGGATAGAGAGGGGGGGAGATGAAAGTGTACACTGGATTCATGGTTAAAAGGAGATAAGAGCATGCATGTGTTTGAATGGAGATGAATTAGGAGGAAGAGGAGCCACTGAGCATCGAGGTGAGAGCTGTAATATTGGATAGAGAATGCAAATTGCGGCAACATTTTGAAACTCGGATCAGACATCGAACCGAAAAAAGCAACGGGTCGCGGTTTTTATAGTCTAACCGGTTAGACAGGCTGTCGAACCAATGACATAAAAATTAAATAAAAAATAAAATTTATATGCTCAATTATATAAATAAAATATTAATTTGTCAATGGTGCTTGGAATCTCAACCCCAAAAGTTAGATATTGGGATCATTGGAGCTAGAAGTAGAGGCATGTCAATACAAGCTTGTGATCTCAAAGGAAAATGTTGGAACTGGAGGCATGCCATCATATCATGACTCACAAGCTTTCGATCTCGATGCTAAAGGTTGGATCTTTAAAGCTGAAGGCAAATGTTGGAGGAGAAGTTAGAGATTGAGTTTGGGCCATGAAAGAGAGATTAGAGATTAGAGAAGAGAAGAAAAGAGAGAATTAGTGATTAGAGAAGAGAAATTATGGATCTAAGTAACTCAGCCTAATTTTTTTTTAATTTTTTTTGACTTTGAATTGGGTTGACCCGAATTGACTCGGGTCCAGTTTTCAGATCAAAGCCGGTTCTCTCAAAACCGGTCAATTCAATCCGAGTCAACACAGGTCAAATGTCAGATTGGTTCAATTGATTGAATCAGACCGTTTTATTCAACGGGTGATAGTCGGATCGGTCGGACCGCCTGATCCGGTCCGATTTTCACAACATTGAATTGCGGAGGATTTACAGTTTGGTCGACATAGTTGTTTTTTTTTTTTTTAATTATCAGCGTTGAATGATCCATGACAGAGCGGGTTCCCAGTTAAAACAAAAGTAAAGGACTGGGCGCAATTGGTCAACTTGTCAACCGAATTGAATTAGATTATTCCGAAATTTTAAATTTAAGTTTTAGAACATTTCATCATATTAAATAAATATGTTATATGCACTTTTGAAATACTGTAAGGTTATCATTAGTAATAATAATCTCATATAGCGGGATTTGGATTAATTAAAACAGAGATATCCAAGGTTCGACAGGATACTGAATGTTGGAGTTTTTTTTTTTAAAAAAAAGGTGAAAATGTAGGTACTGAATTCAAAATCCACTAAAAATGAAATAACTAAAACTTTCGAGTAAGTTGATTGGGCTGTTAGCCCGTAGCCCAAAAAAGCAATTTTATTGGCCTCAGGTATCAGCTCTTCATGTGATTCTCAATGGCCCACTTTTAGACCAATCCAAAATCGAATTAGGCCTTTTTGGCCATATCGGCTTACTATACTATCTTCTTTTCGTAAAAAAAAAAAAAATCTCCGCCTTTGCAGTGTCACCTGTGCAGAATCGTATCTTGACCTAAAAAAAAAGAGGAATCCCTTGTACAGACTAACGTTAGAACTCAGAAGGCAAAAGCGAACACCCCGGTAATTCAGTCTCTGCGTGCAATTCTCTCCCATGGCTTTGCCTGGTGAGGTAAGCGATCACGCTCTATCTTTCTCCTATTACGGTTTTGAAAAGGCCATTATTTGATATTAGAGGGATTTTTCTACATTCGAGATATATCTTTCTTTCTTTCTTTCTTTCTTTGTTTTTTTTTTTTTTTACGCACGATGATATGAAACGGAAAGAGTGAACTCATCTTGGTTGGCGGTGATAGATTGTAATCGGGATTGACTGAAGATTAATCTTCGTTTTGTGCTTGAACTAGTTTTGAAGTGGAAGGGTGTATTATCTTTCATAGGTTTCTTTTCCCTTTTAAACTTTCAGAGGAGATAATAACATACGATATTTGGTAATTCATCGGCCGCTTTGTTAAAGAGGGAAAAGAAATGCTGTCGCAAGTTCTTTAGGACGAGGCGGGAAGTATAATCAATTTGAAACATCTTGAAAACCAGAAAAGAGCATCTCGTGCAATTTGATCGCTCGAGGAAAGGAGAAAGATAAATTGGTTCGAAGATGGGCTTTAACATTTAATGTCAATTTCGAACCTCAATATAATCTTGGAGTAACATATGAAAACTTGACCGTGTTATGTATTGATTTGTTTTTTCCCCCAAGAAGGCGTGACAAGATTTGGAGTCTGTCATTTTTGTAACTGAGTTGACCAAATTGTGTTGTGAGTGCAACTGCTCTCTTACGTAGGGTTATATGTAATAAAATGCTCTTACTCCAACATCTAACATTGTGTTTTTCTAACGCGGGTTGGGTTGCAACTGCTCCTCTCCCCTCTTGGTTCTAAAATTGTTGTTCGGACTGCATGGTATGGATGTATTTGGAAATTTTACCTCCAAACGTATCATGTTTCTTTTCTTTTTGAAATTTGTTATCTTTATAAAGTTCAGCCCCTTCCAGTAATGAAATTTGCAAAGAAAGTATTTTTATGTTGTCCAGGTTTTCTATCTAAATGTGACCCATGACTATATTCACCAATTTTGTTTGTTCTTGGTTTTATAGCTGTTCTGCTGGGCTTGTGCTTCCAGTTTACTGTACATTTAAAGCTATTGAGAACAAAGACCAAAATGAACAACAAAGGTGGCTGACATACTGGGCAGGTTGTAATTTTCATTCAACATCATTTTCATTATTAAGTTCCTTTTGGACTTGTCCATTTGTTTCGTACATCAACTATATCTACTTGTTTCACCTTGCTTTTCATGATCTCCTGCATTCCCCACACTTAGTACAAGAAAGACAAGAAAGATGATATCTGATTGATAATTGTGTTGTTGATTAATTTCATTGTTCTTTTATTGTATTTCAGCTTCTGCTTAATCACTTGCGAAAGTATTTTAAAGTTATTATAGAATTTTGATACACCATTCGAAGCTTATATTTCCTTGTTGATTAATTTTGATTTCCTTGTGGATTTGAACAAACACATGTGGAAGACTATGTAGTATTTGGAAAATGGCTTTAAGTAGTGATGTGCACTTTTAATCATCCTCATGCAGAAGCAGACCTTTAGCTTCCTGAAGTTGAACTTTCTATATTCTTTTGGTGCTGACTTTTGATGATTGTGATAGTTTTGTACTGCCTCTTTTTAATGTGCACTTATCTTACTGTGATTTGCAGCTTATGGATCTTTTAGCGTGGTAGAAATGTTTGCAGAAAAAGTACTTTCCTGGTAATGGTTGAATACTACCTTCAAAGTATCTTCTTACCATGCGGAAGGGATGCGCCCTTATAGTTGTTGGTTAATAAATGAGAATTAGTTTAAGGATTTATTAAATTCAGTGAGAATAAAATTCTTTTTTTCATTTTTATCTAAGCTTATTTGTTTATAATTTGGTGAGAAACAAATATGAAGGTGAGGGTATTTTTGGTAACGGTGCTTCTATTTCTCGCAATAACAATTCAATGTGTGTTTAGGTTAATGGAGGGGATTTTTGTTAAAAAAAAAAAAACAGAATTAGATTAAAGTAGATGTCATGAAAATAGAGAAGTTTGCATAGCTTAAATAAAATGAAGGGCAGGAGAGAGTAATTTACTCTATTCGTTTGATTTGTTTCATCTGACAGCACACGAGATATTCCAGTCTGATCTGATTTTGTGCCGTGTTTCATCAGGATCCCACTCTATTACCATATGAAATTTGCATTTCTTGTTTGGCTTCAGCTTCCCACCGTCAATGTAAGCTAAACCTTTGCTTCATTTATTCTCTGGGTTATTTTTACCACCCTGCTTTTGCAGATGATTTGCCACAATAAATAATCAATGTGACATTAGTGATGGATAACCAAATGTTATAACTGCTGTTCAACAGGGAGCAAGACAACTGTATGAGAGTAACTTGCGTCCATTCTTGCTGAAGCATCGGGCTAGAATGGATCAGATTGTTGAATTTATTTATGGTGAAATGGTGAGAGCTCATTTGTTCATTTTATTATTGCTGGAAATACATTGCTTTATCTTAGTCTTGTTTTCCAAATGCCATTGAAATTAGAGTGGGAGGGCTCGATTATGTGGTCATCACCGCTCCTTGCAATGATTAATGGCTAATACTGAGCTAATTTGGTGGTTTTGGCTAGCCAAATCTGCATCCCTCGGCTAACATGTAATGGTCTGGTCTTTTTAACATTGCAGGGTAAATTTATTAGTGCACACCAAGCTGAATTTCTGATTGCAAGATCACTTTTAACAAAAGTCGTGGTGACAGGTATGCATGCGAGATCCCTCTGAATTTTCCATCTTTAATCTCTCCAATTCATGAATGCTTATCTGTAAAAGTTGTGTGTCTTGAAGCTTTTGTTAAAACCAACTGCCCAGTTTGTGACATGTAGGCTTCCAGTTAATGTTTTTGTTGGCGTTGTAGTGTTCATCAGCCAATAAATCTGTATGCTCATTTCATTGTTTTATGTATCAGCTAATGAAATGATAAGGTCTGCCATTCGGCCAGTCGAAAGGCAAGAAAGTCAGGGTCCGAGGAGGGAGAGTGAGAATTCAGAACCAGAAAATGAGTAAGGCATTTCTTTATAGACAAGCGTGCGAGGAATTGTAATTATTTCTTTATTTTTTACATAGGACTAACTTGGAAAGTGAAAGATTGCCTGTCGGGGTTGAGTTTTTAGTCTTTTTCTTTTTTTTTTTCGGGGTGTGATTCCTGACTTTCTGCTCCGCTGTATATAGAAGATGGACATGATGAAATAAAAATATTTGGTGATGTCCTTAATAATTGGAACAACTGATGGATGCGAAGCAGTGTTATTATTATTTGTTTTCGTTTGTTAAATGCCCTTCCACAGGTACATGGAGAATTACACCTAGATCCCTCACAATATAATTAAATACTTCAAGATCCATTGAATTGTGGTATTTAATTTTATTGCGAGGGACATGAACGTAATTTAACTTAAATATATCTTCAGGGGCACACCTACTTTATTTTTAGCCAGAAAGGCCACGCCAAGTTAGGCTTTTATACTATTTATAGATTATGCATATTGTAATTTTAATAAGCTGGAATTGTAATATTTTCTGGTTGGGCAATGGAATAGCTACAAGTATATGACTTCTCATTAAATTATAATAATTCACACATGCACGAAATATCAAAATAAAAATAAGTTTCTTAAATTAAAAATGTTTAAATGAAGAAATTGGACAGATTCAAATTGAAAGTAGTTCAAATAGTGGGGAAAAGATTGAATGAAAGAAAATTTGAAATTTTAAATGAAGTATTAAAACATAGAATTCCGTAAGTTAAATTGGATTGGATAAGGATGGATTGCATACACACATATTGAAAATAGCAGGTTGTTAATTGTAAATATTCCTTCCGTTAAAAAATATAAAAATTTTTTAAAAAAATTAAATATTAAAAAATATATGGTATTTTTAGTTTTTTAAAATATAATTATTATTTTTTTTAAAAGTACTTTTTAGTGATAGTGACTTTATATTAATTGTAGGGTGTTTAATAGGGATAAATATAAAAAGATAGAATTAATTTAAAAATAAGTAACTACTTTATTAAGAAATGAGATTCGATTAAAAATATTTTATATTTTTTAAAAGAGAGAGTATAATATTTGAAAATTAGATCAGTCTCATCAATTGAATTGATAAATCATTGAATTAATATTTTTAACTTTAACTAATTTAATGAAAAGATTTATTTATGCACTCTTCAATTATGATTCAATTATATATTTTAATTGATTTAATAATTAATTTAATTTTCAATACTCTATTTAAAGACTATGCTTGATTGTGACTTTAAAACCATCACTGTCACAATGACCACGATGTCAAAATAATTTTTTTAAAAAAAGAATGTCAAACATAGTCAATTTGTTTGTTTAAAAAAAGTACACAGTCACTTCCCATTTTACATTAATGATACTTGAATTATAATTAACTAACTATATGGAATAATGGAATACTAAATAATTATATTGGGGAAAAGGAGCATTTGGATTTTGACTATTCTTTTTACCCCTGATTTTTAATATATTTTGACTATCAAACAATTACAATTGAGGACTTGAGGCAATCTCCCCTGCCGTTGATATAGAGTAAACGGGTTTGCATTTTAGGTAGCGGGGCCCTCCTTCAACTGATCTCTCTCCTCCCTTTCTCCACTCTCTCTCTCTCTCTCTCTCTCTCTCTCTCTCTCTCTTTGGCTGATCGTCTCTCTCCTCTCCTTCCCTCTCTGCCGGTGCATGCTTTCAGCGAACTCATCCGCCATAAGATGCTCTGTTCTCAAAACAAACAAAAGTGAAGGCTGAAGGCATGCAAAGCGAGGGCAAGGAGGAGCTCCTCCAGACGAAGCAACCACTTCCTGAGATCAAAGGACTGAGCTTGGCCAAGGTGTGGCCAGAAATGAAATGAAGTCGGCAACAAAGGAAGAGGCTGAAGAGTGAAGACTCAACATAGCTAGAGAGACGCTGAGCGGCTGAAAGCATTGGGAGGGAGGAAAGCAGAGAGACAATCAGAGAGAGAGATCAGTTGAAGAGGGCCCCGCCACTTTAAATAGCGACGTCGTTTACTCTACATTAACCGTTGGGGAAGATCGCCTCAAGTGGACTTGGTAAACAGGTAGGCCTAACTCATATGGGCTCGGCCCTTATGGTTCTAGATTCTAAAACCTGATTTAAAGAGTTCAGGGCTAAGCCCATAAGCCTAAATAAGAATAGAATAAAATAAAATAAAATAAAATTTAACATTAAAATTTATTTAGAATATTTTAAAATTTAACATACATTAAACCAAAATCTTACATAATTTAAAAAATGAATAAAAAATTTAAAAGTTCAAATAAGATAAAGGCAAACATCATCATCAATCCTAATTAAGATCTCCCTCATCATCATCCATAAATGAAATATTAGAATATAGGTTCACTAGTGGAAGATGGAGGCGGAGGCTCAATATCAATTATTTTTGCAGCTTCTTCATCATCACCTACAATAATTATTAATTAAATTGTATTATTATCAAATATATATCTATACACATATCACAAGATAAAATATAAAAATTACCATAAAATAGCATAAAACAATTCAACCAATTGCGGGTACAAATCAATATTTGTACATTATTTGAAAAGAGGTGAAAATGATACTTTGTGAAAACACGAGAGCTAATGCTAAATACTATAAATTTTCTCGGTCTGTGCTTCATACGGTGCATTTTAAGTTAGCTAAGGGGAAAAAAAAAGTAAAACGGGCTTCACGGGTCGCTCGAGCTCGAGCCCTTTTTTTTCAAGCGTAAAAGGGTCAGGCTTCGAAGCCCGATTACTCCAAAAAATACCAAAATTTTAAGCCTAAATTCTTATTAAAGTGGGCTTAAACAGGCAACCCGTCAAGCTCGACCCATATTCTCGACTCTAGCCTCAAGCAAAAATACTTTCAAAATTTATTTAAAAAAATTAATTTAATACTTTCAGTTAAAAAAATATTTAATATCATGTTTCAATTTTTACTAATTCTTATGAAATTTCTATAAATATAAAATTTATTTAGAACACATAATCTAATTATATAAATTTTGAATTATAAAAATTATATATTCTTTTAATATAATAAAAATATAAATTTTTTAATTTTATTTTTTTAAAGCAAAAAATTAATTATTTTATAAAGATTTGATTAAAAAAAATAAATTATAATATAATAATTTAAAAAAATATAAATGATTAAATTAATAAAAATTAAATTTGAGAAATTATGAGATAAATTTGAAGGATTGAAGTTTTATTATTCTACATAAAATTAAAATAAAAAATGTTAATTAATAATACTATAATATAATAGAAGTTATAAAAAAAATAAAAAATCTCTACCGAGCATGTCTTTTATGAGAATTATTATGTTTCTGAATGCAAAAAGTAAATAAGATTCTGTCCTTAATTGGAACCATTTTCTACCTTCATCCTCTTTCAAAAATCGTTTGTATTTTATGCATTGCCACCATTCATTCACTCAGAAAGTTCTTCATAATTCAGTGAATCGTAAATCTTCCATTATTGTTTACGACAAAGCTCTCATCATATCAGAGCTCAATTGTTCGAGAACAGTCGCCGCGGAATCTGGCTTAATGCCTTCGATCCTGCCTTGATCCTTCCGTTATTCAATCTTTAATGCGAACCTCAGATTGAAGTAGACTTCAAGAGGAAGAGGCACCGTCATGATTGGCCGGAGACTAGGACCATTGACGAGGAACAACACTCAGTCTTTGTTCAAAAAAAGAGTCTTAATCGCTGTAGCAATCGGGGTCGTTATTGGTTGTCTCTTCGCTTTCTCATCCCCCAATAATAGGCTCTTCGTTTTGAACATTCCCCCTAATCGCAGTCACGGAACTGCAGTGTATATGACCCAGGTTTGGCATTTAACGAAGGCAACCTCGGTTTTTGTTTTCTTTTCTGAACTCTGGTTATCTGATTCTTCGATATCTTCTCTTGAATGATTTTCTTTGTATTAACATTCTGGCCATGATCAGAGATTCCATGGATGCCAAATGAAGATGTTAAGTGTTGACTGTAAATTACTCTGTTCTGACTTACTGTTTCTCTTGCAATATCATGAATTGAGGTCAATCTTGCTGACTCGGATTTCGGTTGATCCTCACTATTCGTATTTTGATCCTCACTATTAGTTTTACACACAATATTAGTAATCACTTGAAAATAAAAGGAAAAAACTCGTTGGACGCGAAACGAGTGCGTCATTTTTGAACAATAACTATTCCCCCCCCCCCTTTCGGAGACAGAAAAAAAGGCTTTACATAATTTGTAAGCTCAGTGATCGAATTTGCATACTTCCGTCTTTTGAGTCACTTTGGAGCTTGGATGTAATGTTAGAGTTGGGATTATTCCACTCTCCTGAACACTGTCGTGATTCAATTGAGTTGATGGCTGGAGCTGATATTTTAAAGTAGCCCACACATGCTCGAGAGTTATTCGTGGTTTGCTTGTATAGGCTATCCTTTTGTGTCTTTAATCTTTATTTTGAAGTTTTCTATGTGGCTCTGGTGTGAAATGATGTCGTGTTATACATGTTTTGTATGGCATAGAGTGCCCCATAGCATTGCGAACTTCACATTTACGATGGTTCATCTGGCAGACAAATCCAGCAGCATGTGAATCATCAGATCGGATCAACATGTTGAAATCAGAGCTTGTTGTGGCATCAGAGAAAAATTCTGAGCTGAAAAAACAAGTGAGAGAATTGACTGAAAGACTTCGGCTTGCAGAGCAAGGGAAAGATAAAGCTCATAAGCAGTTTCTTACATTGGGTACACAGCATAAAGCCGGGCCTTTTGGTACTGTCAAGGGATTAAGAACCAACCCTACTGTAGTTCCTGATGAATCCGTGAACCCAAGACTGGCAAAGATATTAGAAAAAGTCGCAGTGCAAAAGGAACTGATAGTTGCAGTTGCAAACTTCAATGTGAAGGACATCCTGGAAGTCTGGTTTGCCAACATTAAGAGAGTTGGTATATCCAATTATCTTGTGGTTGCTTTGGATGAAGAAACTGCCAAGTTTTGTGAAGCAAGTCAAGTTCCAGTATACAAGAGAGATCCGGATGAAAATATTGATTCTATTGGAAGAACTGGAGGGAATCATGAAGTTTCTGGGCTTAAATTTCGTATCCTAAGAGAATTTCTACAGTTGGGGTATAGTATTCTTCTGTCAGATGTTGACATTGTATATTTACAGAACCCTTTTGATCATCTGTTCCGAGACTCAGATGTAGAGTCCATGAGCGATGGTCACGATAACATGACAGCTTACGGACACAACGATTTGTTTGATGAACCAGAAATGGGTTGGGCGCGATATGTTTCCACTATGAGGATATGGGTTTACAATTCTGGTTTCTTCTATATCAGACCAACAATCCCTTCAATTGAGCTTTTGGATCGTGTGGCTATTGGACTTTCCAAGGACCCAGATTCTTGGGACCAGGCTGTTTTCAATGAGGAACTCTTTACACCCTCATATCCGGGCTACATTGGGCTTCATGCGGCCAGAAGAACCATGGACATATATCTTTTCATGAACAGCAAGGTTTTGTTCAAGACTGTGAGGAATGATGGTAAGCTCAGCAAAATGAAACCAGTGATTATTCACGTAAATTATCACCCCGACAAGCTTCCGCGAATGCAAGCAATTGTTGAATACTACGTTCATGGGAAGCAGGATGCTCTAAAGCCTTTTCCTGAAGGTTATGAATGGTAATACTACTGTTAGAAGCCTTTTGGGTCCAATCCTAACTAGTTTACAAAAGATCATTTAAAGCTCATGTGTAGGTTAAAACAAATCTTTTTCATGAGCGCGAGTTATAAATTATAAATATAATACCATCTGGTTGAGGGGTCAACTTTCCTATTGGTTCTCTTTTTCTTCGAGGTTGGGGTGTAGAATAGAATGCATGTGCTTTTTTAATAAAGAAAAAAAATTGGAAAATTCTGGCAAGATAATTTTTCGGCGTAGCTTCAAGCTCTTGGTTCAATCATAATAATTCTGAACTAATGTTAAATTTGGATATAAGCTAAGACTAATTCCAACTTATTTGTATTATTTTCTTTTTGTATGTTAAGATGGAATTAGTTTTTTTCTTTTTTTTTAATTTGTTTCCTTGTCATATATTGGCATTTGCCAAGAATATCTTGGCCAATCAATTTTTTTTATACAATTGCACGTCGATTTACAGTTAAAAATTTAAAGAATTGACAATTATTTTTTAAAACTTTTGCAAATATAGTCCGTATTATTAGACAAATTAAACAAACAGCTCAACATTTATTTTGTTTTGCATTATAGCTAATTTATTATATTTATTAATGATATGTTATTGTATATCAATGTGAATTAACTATATTTCTAAATTTTTAAAACTTTAGTGCAAATTTTTGGGGTACAAGATTTTCTTTTGAGCTAATAAAATAATTTATCCTCTTTTCTTTTTAATTACCCGCAGGTATTGTCAAATAAAAAATAATCCCATTTGAAATACAATCGCATACTAAATGTGAACAAATTTTTCAATAGGAATTCAAACTTTCAAAATTATTTGAATTAATTAGTGTATGATGTTTTTATTTAGAAAAAAAATACTCATCAATTAAGTTATATTTGGCTTTGGAGCACTGCGCATATTGCAGATTCCTAATTTAAAAATCTAAAGTCTCATTTCATAAGATAGGAGAAAACAACTCATTACCTTTTTTTTGTTTTTTATTTCGTTATAGCCAGAGTAAATCATATACACTCGTGCAAAACGTGAGATGAAACTTGTAAATAGTGTCCCTCCCTTGACATTGATATTTTTATTTCATGTAGTGTTTAAACAAATCTTCCGGGATGATGAGCTCTCGAGGTTCTCATGGTCTGTTTGTTGACCCCACTTGTCCATGATTATTTCAGCATATATGTTCGTCAAGGCCACCAAGAAAAGACTATTATGATTCCATTTATTTAACGTTATTTTCAGAGTTTCTATAATATAAATCCATTTAAATAGAGTTGAAACCAGCTTCTAATGTCAAATGACGAATTCTAGTAAGAGTTAAGATTTGGTTCGTGAACTGTTATGTTAGCTTCTACCATCAACTGAATAAAACAGACTTCCCGGCAACAAGATCAGCAAATGAGCAAATGGTTCTGGCTAACATATCTTAATGAGTTACTCCACCAGGCCTCATGGCTATAAGATCGGCAATTGATTCTATCCCATAAATCTTGGTGATCTCTTCCTGTCAACACGCCAAATCCATTACTGATATCAGAAATTAGCTCTCGAAAAAACATGATCTAAGTAATTAAAAAGTGGATCTCATTGCCAACAAAGGGGACACACTTGGCAAGAGGGCGTCCAGGTCAGAGATTTGTTAAAAATCCATGCTATCCAGATTTAAATTTCCCTTGCACCAAAGGTTAAACTCACTTCAAAGGAATTTTCAAGTACCAATTGCTGTGGGGTTTTTGGCTATGGATTAAGTTGTAAAATGTAATTGGTGCTCTAGCGAGTAAAAATGGACTAATCTATCCTCATTGCCATCTTTTCCAAACCAAAAGAAAATGGATCTCATTGATAGAGGGAAAAGAATCATGTTATGGTTGCACATTGATGTCTCATGCATAACATGAACAATATCGCTTTTTAGCATCAAGTAACTTCAAGGTGCTTGAAAGAATACCTTTTCTTTACAGAAAGTGACAGAAAGAGAGGCATGGTCATATTTTGCAAATGTAAGTACTTCAATCACCTTGAGAATCACTAGATAACGAGAGAATGACCGAAGAAATATGGTTTGGATGGCACACCTCTATGGAGTTGTTTTCATTATTGAGCTCTAGACAGTCTTCAGAAAGGCTCATAAGCTTGTCTTTCAGCAGGGAATTATTCTTCACAAGATCATCCACAATTTTACGTAGCTCATCACATTCTTGCTGCCAAGAAATAGTAAAATAAAATGTCTAATGGAACATCAGCAATAAGATGGACAATGTTAACAAAAATATAATATATTTCCAGAAGAAAACAGAGAGAAGCACAAGTAAAATAACCATTTCAAAAGTGGCCATCAAGGATGAGCTTTGGCTATCTGGCAAGTAAACTCACTGTGATTCCATCATGTTCCAAATAAAATAAAAAGGTATAAGCGGTTTTGGATGTATGAAGTTAACTCTGTTGAACTTGCAAGCTCATTCTTCTAAAAAATAAGCTCTGACCTTTGATTAAAATTGAAAAAAATTTCATTGCTGCTGCAGTTAGAGTTTTAAAATTTAAATCATTGTCAATAAAGGAAATGAAAGACCTGCCTGTCCTTTCGATCAATTATACAATCTAAAGTATGGCAACTTCTTTTATTGAAAACGCTGATTTTCAAAAGTACATGTATGTATGTATGTGTATATAGATGTATAAAGCCACTTCCAGCAATACTTAAACATATATGCATACCTGCCTACGTAACCTTGATCTCCTAGCTGATTCCCTATTTAATTGCCTTTTTCTTTCTTTTCTTATTTCATCTTCATCCTGCCAATAACATATACAGTTCATAGAAAAATAATAACGCATTTCTGAGATAAACAAACTCAAGCAATCTAAACAAGATATCAGATTGCTATCAGGCATTCACTAGAGATACTGATTATCAAGGCAGTAAGACCAGAAAAGTTTATAGTACCAGTTGAAAGCCAATAATACATGATGTAAAACCAGAGAAATTTATAGTACCAGTTTTGCAGGTCCACGGATAGTCCCAGATATATTGAGGCCGGTTCCTGAATTCAGATTAGGTTCAGTTGAATTCACTTGATCTGTATTACAATTTTCTATCCTAGCCCTGCTCTGTGTAAGGTTCCCTGTTCAAATTTCAACGATCATCAGACTATGAATTTTGATATTTTGATGACCTAGTAAACTTACATCAATCTCAAACATACTATTTGCTGGCATCACGTTACATTGCTTCTCCCTACTTGAAGGAAAACCCTGCAGAAGAAGGGATAGTATTAAACCTTCTGGTTAAGATATTGTTAATATCTTGAATTATACAGCAGGATGATTGATTTTTTGTCTCCATTTGAAAGTCTATCATAGTTCGTGATAGGAAATATATTACATTGCTCAGAGGCATATTTAACTTGAATACATACATTGTCAGTGTCATGGTCTTCATCTGATGATCCCATGCTTCCACTTGTCCCACTATGAACAGATAATTTGCAATTAAGTTTGGAAAAGTGGGAATCAGGATGCTTGCTAAATAAGACAAGTACCTCCAAGCTCCTCCATCTTGTTCATTTTTGGAAATTGATAATTCATTTCCATTTTCTCTTAATTCCTCAAATACAGAACTTCTAGGTTGTAGGTTCCCATCATATGTTTCCATAAAATCCATGTTCTTTATACTGAAAGTTATAATGTCTTTATCTGAAAATGTCAACAAAAAGCCCTGAGCAGAATGAAAAAGCAACTGTGTCACATGCATTATTCAACAGATATACAAGCAGATAAACCAATCATCCTCGACAATGCCATACAAGGAAAATTGTACCCAAGTAAAGGAAAAACACAATAATTCTAAAGCACCCGGCTGTGTAAATTTCATAGAAAACGTAGGGAAAAAATATAGAAAGTATAATGAATTAGAATATTTGGCAAGTGACTACCCCGGCAACAATTGGATGATTCTTGATTCTTCTGGGATCATGCAGAGGGTCATATTGAAGGGAAGTGCTGACAGCCTGCACCAGATGAGAAACAATGAAAAAGCACACGAGTTGTCCCTTCATGATAATCAAAGCAAGCAATTTGCTAAAAGAATCATAAATAAGGAAAATGACTACCTGGTTTGGCCAAATATGGGGATAATAGTAAGAACCTGCTGCAGCTACATGTGAATTTATAATAGGGGTTGTTGGTGTTTGCATAGAATAATGATATCCCTATTTCAAAGTCATTTGGAGCGTTAATTGTTTCCATATGAGAAGCACTGGCATACAGGACCCAAATATCAATATAAACCCATGCAGATAGATAAATCTTTGAGACCTGTATAGAAGTAGACCAATGCGGCTGCAAAGGTTTGTTTTCAGTTTCCTGTCATAAAATAAGAATTGGAAAAAGAAAAAGAAGAGATCATAAGAAACAGAAATAATCAAATAGCAGCTAGAGAAATTTAAATGAGACACGACAAAGCAATTTACTGACATCCTGAACCATCGTAGTTTTGCAGGGTTTAGTGGTTTTGTTGGATTCTTGTGTCCCCGTCAAAGCTCAAAAAAGCATATGAACTCAGTACCGCCAAGATGACTGATTCCTTTTTGAATCTAACGCCTAGAGAGTGAGAGATAAGTAGAAGAAAGTAAACTGTGCAAGGAAAAAAGAAAAGAAAATGAAGAAATTAAAATGAGGAAAAAATTGAAATCCACATTTAGCAAAGAACAAAGACAGTTTCATTGGAATTGCCGCTACCTTTCCTTTCAAAGTGTTTTTTTTATCCTAACTGGGCAAAATTAAGCAGACTCGCTTAAAGCTTGCGTTGGGATTAATCATTTATGAGAAATGGTTGGTATAGTCATATGTATTTCAGCCTTTTCTGAATAAATGTTGAAGGCTGATGGTCATGAATGTTGTGCCAAAACTTTTTTGGGCGCCAATGTAATGTAATGTCCTTCCAGTTAATTTAGTGCGGCCAAATATAACTAAAAGAAGTGATAACATAAGAGAACAACACTATAACAACCCTACTCAGAACAAACTAACGGCAACTAAAGTCGCATTTCAAAAATTTCTTACACGCCCATTAATAAGTCTTGCAGCCATGTAATGTGTATAAAATGATAAATCAAGGACAAGAATTAAATGACAGGAAACACAAAAATCCAGATTCATATGTTTGCAAAAGAAAGTTCAGCCTACCTTAGTATTTCCCGGGCCGGGGGGGCGGGGGGCGGGGGGCGGGGGGACTTAGTATGGATGAATCTGTCTGAATTGTGAGGCAGAAACTTAAAAGGAAAAATTGAAAAAATTAATAATCCAGAGTAACTAATAATCAAACGAATTAGAAGAGAAGCTTGGAAGTAGCAAATCTAGGGATTTCGACTAGTTCACCGCTCGAGAGAGAGAGTGACTGAGGAGAAATGAAGAGATTAGAAACCTGGGTGGCGCGAAAGAGAAGTCTGGGGTCTGGCACAACTTTGACCAATGGCTTTTCCTTTCCTTCTTTTTACATGGGAAAATCACAACGAACGACCCTCGAGAAATATATTCACAGCTAAGAACCAATTAATTTTAATTTTATATTGCAATCTTAGGGGCCCTAACTGTAATTAATTTTAACTGTAAAAAGATAAAAGTGCCCCTCTAATAGAAAGGAAATGAAGTATGAAACTCTAGAGAATAAGTTAGTGTGTAAAAATAAAACATTTAGAGTTCTAGCTTGCACGAGTTAATAAGCTAAAAATTATAGATTTTTTTCCTCTATATCCTTGTCTTTCAAGTGAATTGGTTTTGTATTCTTTTTTTCAAACTAACTTGGTTCTAGTTCTATTTATTGGATATCATAGGCTTGTTATCGAGGTATTTCGAGAGATGGGTATCTAAATCCAAAGTCTACGAAACAAAATAGTTAAGAGTTTAGTATATACATTTAATGTGGGTTTATCTTGATAGTCATAGTAGCGTCTTGTTCTGATGTGGAATGTTGCATTATAAATACAATAATGTATTGTTAAAAATGAGAGTGTAGTTGTTATTTTATAATTTGATTATATTTTTCTTTTCAATATATTGTGATGGCCTGGGAAGGAAAGTCTAGAAGTGATAAAGTATTTGTTGGTCAAATAGTAATAATAAATTGTTGATATTAGAATTTTAGTTGTAAATTCAAAAATAGAATAACATTTAGTTGAAATATGGAACATTTGAACTTTGTCTTGTTAACATAGTAACAATATGTTGTTAATATTAAAACTACAGTTGTGCAATCAAACATAGAGTAAAATTTATTTGAAATGATTGTAGGGTGACATGATAGATGACAAGTAATAGTGGAAAGAAATTTTTTTGTTTCTTTCATTATGGGGGAGTTTATGAGAGGACAAGTGAAGACAATGTCAAATATGATAGGAGAATGTAATTACTATAATAATAACAGAGAGTATGACATATGGTGAACTTAGAAGATTGATATTTAGCTAAAGTGTGTCTTGAAATTAAAGAAATAAACCTAAAGTTTACGATCAACATTGACCAGAGGCAGAAAGGGCCAAACTATAGCTCTAAACTTTAAAGCCTTCCTTCATTTGGCCTAGTCCAAAACTAATACAAGGGAAGATTTCCATTTACAACACCTACAAGTATCTAAAGGAGATAAGCCTTGCTCAACATACAATCAGAGACCTATATTATTTGAGTCATAACTATGCAAAGTGTGGCATATTAGAGAAATTTGCCATGTCATTATCTTGCACTTTAAGAATCCATGTTGAGTAACTATTGGGCACTTCATGGCATATTCATTGAAATGTCATCACACACGATGACTCGACAGCTCTTCACAAAGTGCTTATATGCCTAGGGATTATTGGAATGCTAGACCATAGAAAATGGACTAGTTAGGCCCAATGATGGACTAAATTATGACTAAAAAGCACTAGTTGGGCCCCACTACATGGGCATGGCAGCAAGTGGCAATTTTTGAAAAGGGGAGGCTGAGTTGAGTGGAGGAGATGGGAAGGAAAAGACAGTGGTATGTAGGCTATTACAGGTGGCATGTCATAGCTATAGAGATCAATGATGTGGACTAAGATAGTCTTAAGGCAAGTAATAAATGAAATGCAGCATTGATTGTGAAGGTTGACTTGAAGAAGCAGGTTCATCATCCAACCTTTGAGGACTTAGAGTTGAGGATCTGTAACGTTGGGGGAGAGACCTAGTTATAGGCAGTGCTATATTAAAGCTAGGGAGTAAATGCACCCTTTAGAGTTGGAGAAAATTACAAGGAGGATTTATATGTTCCAATACTTTACACCCTTTTTACCAAAAATTTTACACCCCGTAACCTCTCCTACCAAAATGATTTAGTTTGGTAAAAAAAAATTCCATTATTATTGTTTAGATTTAACCTAAGGTTTTAAGGGAACCATACATTTTTCTTGTCTTTAAATTATATAATATTTGAAGAAATAGAAACTAAATTGCAAAATACATAATATAGGATTACCTCCACACATATTTAGATAAGATCATATATATATATATATATATATATATTACATACACTAGAATTTATTTTTTCTTGTTTTACCTACATAATTGGTTAGGATTTAGGAATTACCTACAGCTTCCTAATAAGTGTAGGAGTTGGAAATTTTGTGCTACACTAAAATATGACAAAATAACCTCTAGTATAACACATAAAAAAGGGTCCTACATGTTCATATATACATTCCTAATTTGCTAAAATATCTAAACATGCCTATTAATGTGAGGATGTGAAGGCATAATCCAAATTGAAGTCGATTACATACAGTAAGGTGGTGGCATTGGCAATCCGAAAAGTGATGGCAATGGTAGCATGACAGGTGAGGGGGGTGACTAAGGTCAATGTCAGTAAGGATACTAGTGGTGGTGGGGATAACGAAGGGTGTAATGAATGTGAGGACAAGGGTGGTACTATATGATTTGGAGTAGTTGGTAATAAAGGATGCCAAACAGTTTCAGAGTGGGTGCAAGTGTCCACTATTACGCTAGTTAGTCCATAATGATCAATATCCAATCGATTTTCATGACTATCATCTTTTCCACCAGCCATTCATTCAGCAGTTCTTCATAACTTTTTTCCTTCTCCTTAAGTTGAGCACCCAATAAAGAGTTTTTGCAAGACTTGAAGGCCTAAATCTTATTGGAACTTCCTTCCATACCAGATTAAACCACCTAATTAAAGCTCACTGTTGTGTTTGCATTATCAACTTATATGTTTTTCACATTCAGCCTGTAGTTATCTTAGCCTTTTTTCATAGCCCCATCTTTAAGTCTTTTAGAAAGAGAAGTATTGTCTATAATCATATCCTCTACAACATTGCTTGCATTCTCAATTTCACTCACATATCCCCTCACTTTATCACTCACTCATGGACTCTCTAACACTCTCGCTTACTATCTCTTGCTCACTCATTGCTCAAGAATCTCTCTCCAAAGCCTCCTTCTGAGGTACTTTTGTGTATCAATTGCACTACTTTGAAAATATCTGGTCCATATTTGTACTTTAGCCCTTGATTATTTCATATATTATAAATATATCAAAACCCATTGACCCACTGTTGAATCTATATGTGTGATCTCTTGTTGGTGAAATTATTGTGTTCTATTATGTAGAAAATTAGTAATATTCTTGTACTTTACTTGTGGTTCCTTTTTTGTTAAATTACTTGATAAAATTAACATGCCACATACTACTTGTGTTGTCTTTTTTAATGCTTTAATATTCTTAGATATTTTTTAATTTAATAATTTAAAATTTTCTAGGTGTTGAATATAAGATGGAGAGATTTTTAAAAATAAAATTACAATCGAATGAAGGACAATCTTCATCAAGAACTTGTAAATCAAATTGCAAACAACAACAACAAAATGAAATTAATTTATAAGATTTGCCATCAAATCCAAGAAAAAAATATAATTTTATCATATCATTATCGAGTTGAATTATTTTATATCATTGTAGATATGTAACTTAAAAAACTTAATATCATTTCGCTGAGACATACACAATTGCTCCTTTATATATCTTGTTTGAATTTGGCTAATTCATTCTCAACTTTTAATAAGGAAAGGTTAATTGAATTTGTCAAATTCTATTCATGAGCTTTCTTTCTCTAATTTAATGATGCTTGATAATCAACTTGAGACTTACATTATTGATATACAAAGTAATATTGAATTTGCATTATTAAAGAAATTGGCACTCTTGCAAATAAATTGGTGGGAACAAGAAGACATATAATTTATTCCTTAATTTATACTTTCTTGAAGTTAGTAATTATATTACCGATTGCCACAATAATGATAAAAAGAACCTTTTCTACTAAGAAGTTTGTAAAAAATCAATTGCAAAATCATATAAGAGATATATTAATGAATAATTGTCTAATAATTTATATTGAAAAAAGATATTTTTCTTAACATTAACAATGAGATGATTACTCAATGATTTTGAAACATGAAACCACACAACGTACAATAGTAAAGTATTTACATGCTTTTTTTTGGAATTATTAATTTATTTTTAAATTATTAATTTTCAAAATATTGCACCCCATAACCTAAGGTCCTAGCACCACTACTACACCCAATCTCGTGCTCACATGACTTTGTCTCAAATACAAAGGAGAGAGAGTGAGAAGGTAGGGATGAGAGAGAGGGAATGAAGACATGGAAGGGGAGAAAAGAGGTGAGACCCTACTATATCATATTTTATGATAAAAATATGAATAGTAGGACCCACATAACGGAAGTTAGATGTGTTAATGGGCCGGACTCAAGGCATTTTAACCGTTTTAGGATAAAAGTAACCCACAATTGAATTTACAATACCTCATAACTTTTTGAGTAAAGTTGAAAGACAATTATCCTTAACTCATAAAAAAATAAAAAGATGATGCTGTATATATCTTTATTTATTATATTATTTTTATTTTAAAAAAAATTTACAGATTTCTTATTACCACCTATTTATGGTATCATCAATGCACTTGACCAGAGAAAAATTTATTAGCATATGTGTGTTTTTTCATACTAAAGTATTAGTCGACCAAGAATTTATAAAAGTTGACTTTGACTCTTTCAGTGAGTTTTTTTTTATATTCCTTCTAATTTTATTAATAAGTTACTTTTAATATATTTTATCGAAATTAAGAAAAACTTTAAATATTATTAATTTATCTTAAAATTTAATAAGTTTCTACCTTTACTCCTAATAAATATTTTTAAATCTTATTACTGATATTTTTATTCAAAGTATTTAATAAAGACAAAAATATACATCTAGTTAGAGATCTAAACCCTAACAATATGATTAAAAAATTCAAGTATCAATCAATTACATTAGCATTTGTTGCTTCAACAACCAAAAATACTCACGAGTAAAAAGTGATAACATGTAATTTATTTTAACTTAAAAAAGGCATTTATTGGAGTCGAAGGGGAGAAGTTATAGGGAAAATTTGGGGGTTGCTTATTTATCAATTTATAATTCATGATTTGATAATGAAGAAATGGCTTGTTTATGTCATTGATGTGGGAAGCCAAGTTCTGAAGTCCTAGAGGCTTGGCGTCGGAAGAGAGAGGGGCGAGGGACAATGTGTGAGTCCGAGGAGCACACGTTGTTCCATTCTGGGACCACCACCGTCTCTCCTCCATGACAACCATCAACCTCACTCTCTTCCGGCTGCCCTTTGCAATCAACCAAGGTTCGTCTCTCCTTTTTCATTTTTCTCTTTTCTTTCTTCTCTTCCATGCTCCAATCTGATCTATTTCCCCCTTTTTTATTTTTCGTTCTCTGTTTAAGAATCTGATCCACATCAAATATTTATTCTTCTTTCAAATAATACAGCATCTCAGGGATTGGAAATACCCGGATATACTTATTGCTCCCAATCCACCTCAAGAGGAAGAAAGAAGTCTTTGAGATTCATGTGCTGATTTAGATGTAAAATTCCACCCTTTTGATACATTCATAAGAGAGAGCATGCCTAATCTGTAACCTTATGACATGATCGATGATCCTCATATCCCACAATTGAAAGGAAATAAAATTTGAAGCACGAAATTAAATTCAAACACATAAATAAAGGAATGGTAGAAAGTAGAAAACATGAAATAAGAATGAAGAACTAACCCAAATTACCCAAATATAGATGAAGTTAATATAGAAAAAAATAAGATAAAAAAGTGTCTCTGTCCTACTGAAATAATATTAGTGAAAAGCATGCCAAAAGGCGCTTCGTCCTAAACGGAACTAGTAAGTTGATTCATAAACCACAAATTGGACATGGCTCAAATCATTGTTATATAACCCTATACTCCCCTCCTTCTATAGCTACGAGTAGCAACCTTTTATCTCTGCATTATCTGTAAGGAACAGGTTTGTAATAAGTTCCTGTATAAATGACCTCTGTGATGACGAATGCATCAAACATTGTAAAGTCATATTTGGGGGCTTTGTCCGGCAGTTTGCACATTGAAACAATGGTTTTAAGTGTTACATGTATGGAAGTAGAACAGCAGAACAAATTATCAAACAAGCCAGATATGTCTTCTTGGCCTTGTCTGATACGAACAAAAGCAATGAGATAATAAGTAAACCAGGGAATAACACTTGCTATAATCTTCCCTCACTCTTGAGGAAAAGTTGTTGCATGAGAATTGGGCTGCTGTGCAGATAACAACTCGCCACTTTCTGTCATTTTTCTTATAAAATTTATGCTCGATGTTCATCTTGATATGTGCAGATTGGAAATAGGTATTGAGAGCTTCCTGGATTCATTTTTAGCATGAAAAGGGGACCAGGGAATGATGGCTGGCCCTCTGTTGTGCACCTTCATGTCATTAAAAAATCAGAACCCCGCTTTTGCATATTCCCAAAAGTGAAATCGGTTGACGACAATCCAGAGAGTGTACCTGTCTATCTCAATGTGTATGATTTGACACCCGCAAATGGGTACTTGTACTGGGCGGGCCTTGGTGTTTTTCACGCTGGGGTTGAAGGTCAGTAAACATTCACAGTAGCAACATATTTTTAGCTACAATCAAGGGAATCTTGTATCGCCCCAAGACATTTAAAATTTAGATCCCTAAAACGCTCTTTAGAAGAATTGAACCGATGATGATAAGAAGAAATGCTATCTCCTCTTATTATTTGAACTACTTCAGGCAAACAACAGTAACTTCAGTTCTATCTGCTAACAAGAAATCATTTTATGGATTTGATTCCCCACGACACTCATAACATGTAGATGCATATTTGCCCGAATTCACAAACGTAGACTTGAGTCCCAACAGATATACCCTGATATTTTAGAGAAGTAAAGTATCTTATTTAAAAAGAAATGCAAAAAGAATATTTTTCAAGAAAAAAGTAAGACCGAATGTAATTTATCAGATTCCACAGGATAAAACTTGTTGTTATTAAAAAAAAAAAAAAAGTAAGACCATGTTAAACACACCTATTCCTGCTCCGATGACTTAAATGAGGAAAAAAGATATCTGGATGCCATCAATATTTTCTGAGATTGTCATATTGGCTCAGTTTATGGAGTAGAGTATTCCTTTGGAGCCCATGATTGTCCTACTAGCGGTGTCTTTGATGTTGAACCTCGCCAGTGCCCAGGATTCAAGTTTAGGAAGTCAATATTCATGGGAACGACAAATTCGAATCCTTTCAAAATTAGAGAATTCATGGAGCAACAGTCAGCTAATTACCATGGTAATACTTATAACTTGATGGTCAAGAACTGCAACCATTTCTGTGCGGATATATGCCAAAGGCTCACAGGGAATTCAATACCTAAATGGGTCAATCGCCTAGCAAGATTAGGTATATGATATACTTCACGCATTCTGCATTCTAATGTTCAAACTTTAAATTGTATTATTTTTTGCCAGTAAACACATCAGATGCATCTCAGAAATTATGGAATTCAATACCTGATTCATTGTTCTTTGTCATCCTTATAGGTTCTGTATGTAACTGTTTACTCCCTGATGCCCTCAGAACTTCAACCCCTCAAGAAGATCCCAACATTCAAGGGCGTGATGGTAAGAAAAAGCTGCGTGCCGCTTTTAGTTGTTTTTCATCAATGTCAAGGCCCCAGAAGCTCCAGAGGAAAGAATCAAAATCTCCATTAATTCAACGCTCTCAAAATAAAGGTTTCCTAAGAGCATGGAGGACTAGAAAGGGTTCACGAAAGGAAGGATGAGATTCTACTTAGCTCTCTTTCTAGGAAGACGGAACCACTGTTAAATGAAGAAAACATCCTTTCCTCTAGGAGTGCAGAAATTGTCGAACAAAATTTGTTTTCCATACTTCTCTTGGCTAATTTTGGCCTTGTCTAATGAAGAACTTGTCAGATATATTTCTGTGCAAGTTCTACGCAAGCTCAATGACAAAAACAACTCTTTGTGGAAATGCGGAATACATGGACGATCACGGCAAGCTTAGATATATCAACAAGAAGTTAAGCTACACATATAACGCCCATATTGTTCAAAGACAGTGCAAAGCCAGGAGCACTTTGATCAAACTTCAAACATAGAATATAATGGTAGTACCAAGCCGTCAAAACTCAGAAGACTAATAAAGAACTATGAACAACAGAGAACTTAGACACATTAGCCAAAACCATGGAACAAATTTCACTTGCCATGTTTTTGAGATGCAGCATCATGAACTTGGATTCACAAATAAGGGTTAAGCTAGTACATATTGCCCATTCCTGGACTTCAACAAATATATGAGGAGACAAATTTAAGCAATATTCCCTTTTTAACCACACAAATTCTCGTTCACTTGAAATTTAAAACAGGTTTCTTTCCTTAAACTGAGACTTGGCTGCAATTAGTCTATTCAAATAAAATTACAACAAAAAATAAATATCTCAAGCAACTACTAGTATAATTTAATCATGTTAACATGGAAAAAGCCGAATATCTGCCCATCCTTATTAGCAAATCCAAAAGAACTGGTTCAATTTATAAGGACAGAAAACATATCATCTTTTCAACTTAAATCCAATTCCTCTTAAGCGCTTACGAGCTAAATATTAATACATTAGATTAACGAGGAGCAACGCATCTATAGATAATTCGAATACCAATGTCTCGGTATACTCCTGAATATTAAAATACCAAGAAAAACACCAACACAACTGTATAAGCACACATCAACCTCGCAACATTATCTTTGCAACTAAAATAATTACCGGTAATTATTAGACATTTAAATACAACTGATCAGTCTCCGTCAAACATAACGTCGAAAAAATAAAGAAACAGAGGTGAAACTATTAACAAGTTCTCTGTTCCGGAAAAAAAAAAAAAGAAAGAAAAAAGCTATTAGCAAACGTTTTAGATCTTTCATTCGGGATTTTCTGATTATAAAACAATTGCACAGGCCGAGGACCGGATGAAACACACTTCAACATTAAATCTGTCCATAACATAATTTGGTATCTTCACAACTAAGAATAATTTTTCATCATTTTGTCGTCTGTTGATGACATTCATGATGATGTTGCTCCCAAGCTAGTTGCTTTAAAATTGAATTCTCTAATTGTATTTGCTTCAAAGCATGGCGATGACATAATATTGCGAGGAATGCAGTCTTCGTTGACCAAAAGGCTTTAATTTATGAGAAGTTTAGGCGCTCGTATTGGTGCCATTAATAATTTGCACTTAGCCAATAAGCATTCACATGATCGAGTTGCTTCCACACAGAGTCAATGAATCTGATTCGTGCCAGTAATTCTTCTGAATAGATATTTAACAGTTGCAATGCGGTCTGGTTCAAAGAAGCAACGCATTCCTTCTTAAAATTTGGGTTTTTTAAGGTGAAATTTGGTCCTCCGAAAGCCACTACGTTTGATGTGGCGAGTGGTAGGTATAGATAGGTACTGCCACGTAATATATATATATATATATATATAAAGGAAAGAGGAAAAAAAAACATTAATCCTACTTGTGTGGATTATAGGTCTTAAGTCTTAACAAACCAATAATGGCATGGAAATTATGAGTAATGAAGAATAAAACCTACATCATATTTCAAATAAATTATATCATATTTCAAATAAGTTTGTTTGAATGTGTCAACGAAAACGACAATAAGCGAGGTATTGCAATATCCTACAAATTTATAGTACTATTTTTGAAGAAAATATATTCGTCGGAATCTGTCAAAGAAAAGGAAGTATTCCATTTTCTATAGTTTCTGCTAAAAGCATCATCCAGCATCATGTTAGTCCACAACCCTATATCCTTTGATTCTTCGCCTATATACATTGTCTCCTTTGGCTGCCTAGTTTTCTTAAGACCAATGCTCATGGCTGATGCCACGTTTAGTTCTCGTCACAAGCACAAATTTTAAATTATATCTTTCATAATTCAACATAACAGCTCAGAAATATGAAGTCAAATACAAGCTAGTTTACGCAATTCATCTTCCCTTTTTTATATGTAAGCTATGATCTGTGTACTATCATTGCAGAGCATAAATCTCAAAGTTTCAGATAACAACATCTGATTCAGTGTTTAAAAAAAAAAATCAGAAAACAATGGGGAAAGGAGGCGGGTGTGTACCTAGCAAGAAGAAGGTGCCTGTTTCTGATTCGAAGAAGAACGATCCTGTTTCAGAGAGCATCGAAACCCAATCGCGAACAACGGAAACGACAACAATCGCAGTCCGAGAAGCACCAGTCGAAGCAGATGCGAAGAAGCTGAGGGTTTTCATAGTGTATTACTCAATGTACGGTCATGTTGAGTCACTGGCGCGGGAAATAAAGAAAGGCGTGGATTCGGTGGAAGGAGTGGAAGGGGTGCTGTACCGAGTGGCGGAGACGCTGCCGAAGGAGGTGCTAGAGATGATGAAGGCGCCACCGAAGGACGACAACGTGCCGGTGATAACGGCGGAGAACTTGGTGGAGGCGGATGGGGTGGTATTCGGATTTCCAACAAGGTTTGGGAGCATGGCGGCGCAGATGAAGGCGTTCTTCGATTCGACGGGTCAGTTGTGGAGGGAGCAGAAACTGGCGGGAAAGCCTGCGGGCTTCTTTGTGAGTACCGGCACCCAGGGCGGTGGCCAAGAAACGACAGCGTAAGTCCGGCTCAGAATTCGAATTATCATCGTTTAAACTGTCAAGTTAATTTATCTTTGTGTAAGTTCAAATAGATGTTTATGATTTAAATATTAACTATAATAGTTAAAAAATTGCAAAACTAAACCATCTATAACAAACAAAAATTGGTTCAATATGATTTCAGGTAAGAATATGGATCCTATTTCAAAAGAATATAAGCTTGAATTTTTGATGTCAATGTTAGAACTTCATTGGCCAATATATTAGTATAACATATTTCAAGGCACAAAACATGCAGTAAGTCACCTAAAACTAGTTCAAATAATAAGAATGGTATAAAGAAATGTGAATCTTTTTTTACAAGTCATCAAGCATGCTTTAAATTTAGTCACTCCACGATTCAATTTATCTAAACTTGAGGATTAAGGAAATTTGAATCTGTAGTTTTGAACTAAACAGGAACATACCATGAAAGAAAAGAATATTTAAAGTCATATTGTTGATGATGGTGTAGGTGGACAGCAATCACGCAATTAGTGCACCATGGGATGATATACGTTCCAGTGGGATATACAATGGGAGCTGGAATGTTTGAAATGGAATCAGTGAAAGGAGGGTCTCCCTATGGTGCTGGAGTTTTCGCAGGAGATGGAACCAGACAAGCTACTGACAAAGAGCTTGCTCTTGCTCACCATCAGGGCAAGCATATGGCTACAACTGTCAAGAAATTGGCTCCCTCTTCCTAAATTAATTTGTTTGTACTCTCAAATTAAAAATTCATATTCCAATCATGTTTTATTAATTGGTTTTGTTGAAATGTGGTGTCCATTTGTTGCTCTATGCTGAGGCTGAGGGAAAAATTGATGTACACTTTGTAAACTTTATCTGTATGAATTATGTATTCTTTGAGGTTATCATTTCATTTGTCAACAGGTTAAGTTTGGGTTTGGGTTCAATTTATTGAATTTACAGTTATCTTCACCCTTCTCAGCCATAAATTTGTTTAGCTTTGTGATTCGTGATGCGATTCTCTATATCAGCGTGGCCCCTTTAGAACGACGCCGTTTAACCTACATCATTAGTCTTGGCAGTTCATGATTTCTTCCTCAACACTTTCAATTGAGTTTACTATTTATATTAAATTTCTAAGTCATTTGGGATTGAGCTTTAGGAATGATCCACAGCAAATTCATTCTGCACCGTTTTTTTTTTAATACCAACATTTTTGCATCTCCTTTGAACGCTTCCTTTGGTCCATCAATTGATTCTGTAGATTATATTTTAAGCATTTTTCACTCATCAGCTAATCGGCTTTTCGGTCTTATAGGCAACATTCTGCATCACAATTCTGGCCTAGGCCCAATTTTATAAACCCTAAATCCAAATGGTCATGACATGAGAGACACTCTAGGCATTTCCACTGGAATCATATCAAAACTGGAAGTGAAATTTAGATATCCCAAAGACAGATAGTTCCACCGAAAATAATTATATGAACATTCTGAAGAATTGAGAGATTTGTTTTGATTTGATTGAGCTCGCAAAAGTTCAACTTGACATACTTTTACAAAACCAAACAAAATTGAAAACTTGAATTCTGTTTTCGGTCTTTTTGCAACGTGGTCATCTCTAATCTCTATTCATCTTATCACCCTTTAACAGCCTTTGCCTTTTACTAATTCTACAACTTATTTTTCAAAACTTCAAAACACAAAATTTGACCTTTCTGTTAACTAATAAATATAAAACAATCCTCTGGGTGAGGTAACATCTTGCTACATAAAGCACAATATATTGAATAAAATCGTTTAGCTTAAATTAAAAATAGAAAAAAAAAACCAGAAAGCAGAACACTCTGTTAGAACGTAGAGAAGATAACTCGTTTCAACCGAAAACCACAAAACAATCAACTAAATCATTGAAGAAGATTAATCCAGCAAAAACTTACATCTTTGTTGTTCCAAAGAAAGAAGGAAAAAAAGGAGAGAGAGTGAGCAACAAGTGAAAAATGTATGGTAATAGTTACTAGTAAACGCCTCGGAATATTCAGAGTATCAGAGAGAGGCATTTATCAGCGAAACTACCAGTATCAGTTTGGGCCTTCGATGAAACAGAATAAGCATCAGAAGAAACCAGCCTTCTCGCTTATCTGGGATTATGAAGGCCAAACGAAGATATGAACATTCGCGGAAACATGTTAAAGGCAAAAGAAAGTCTTATCGCCAATACCAGAATACTTCAGTCAGGGGCTTGGCTGCGCCTCGCCTCGTGCTCGCACACACACATCTATATATAGAGTACACTGAGCATTAACAGGTTCAAAACCCTAATATCCGCTTTTTGAGTTCGGCCCTTGGATTTAACGATATTTCTCCAATTCCCCCACAAATTCTATCACTGTGGTCAGTGATCACCCTAGAAATTGCAAGAATGGTAAGTACTCCCTCCCACCCTACGTATGATATAATAAATTTTTTAAAAAACTTTTTTTATTTTTAAAATTAAAATATTACTGTGCTTTTAAATAGATAATTAATTTTTATTATTTTCTGTAATTTAATTAAAAATATCTTATATATAAAGATAAAGGAATTAGTTATTTTAATTATAAAAAAATGTTAAATTGGCAATTTGCCACGTGTTAATTAATCTAGAAAAGTAATGTACCATGAGAAAAATAACAAATTTTTTAAATATACAAATAATGATGAGCTCTTATAAAATGTTATAATTCTTTATAAATTTCTAAGAATCTTTATGACATAAATAATTTACATTGTAAAAATTAAAATATTTTAGTTTAAAATTTTAAAAAAAGTAAATGATGGTAACTACTTTAGCTTAAGCAACAATTTTTTTTTCCAATGACTAAAATTGAATAATAAATTTTGCCCTTACTACTAATAAAAGTTAACTATAATTATTAGTTGACTAAAAAATAATAAAAGATAACTTCAATATTACATAAATAGAATAAGAAAATTATAAACAAGAATCCAAAAATTATAGAACTTTTTTATAAATTTTGATATTATTTTTTAATCAACTAACAATCCGAGTCAACTAAAAGTAATGGTAGAATTGTATTATTTTTAAAAATTAAAAATTTTGTACTAAAAACAATTTTAGCAGTTCTAGATGCTTTTAAGCCTATAATTTAAGGGAGAATTTGTCATTTAAGCCAACTATGGATAATACGACTTCTAGTTGCGGATGCATCAAATCTGGAACATAATCATATGAATCTTAAGTTTTCTAAGGCATTTTCTTATTATTGGTACTTTCTTTCATCCTCTCGCACCTCTTAATACAGACAATAAAGTTACCATCATTCGATTTTTTAACATCTTACATCGATGTTGATGGCACTAATACATTTCTATGACATCTGTATTCAGATTCAGTCTCATCCGAACTGAACAAGCTCATACTTGATTTTTTTTTTAAATTAAAAACAGCTGCAAATCATGATTAAATGATCAACTTTTCCCCCAGAAATGATAGATTTAGAGTTTAGGGCGGAAAAAGAAAAGAAGAGGGAGAAGAAGAAAACAACAATATACCAAATTCACGAGAAAATTGTATTGAAGGGAAACAACTAACGCTTGATATAGAAATTAAAGGACCATGAGTACTCCATAAAAAGGATTACCAAGTAGTAATAGATTTATTATTTTTATTAATTAACTAAAGTTATGCAGTTGCTGAGTTTGGAAAATCAAAACCAAACAGATCCAATCCAAACCATGAACCAGGAAAGCAATATATATTCAAGAGCCTCACATGCATCTGGCTCATCTCTCATCAGCAATGCCAAACGGGGTCCACAACCTTGCACTGAGCAGGGAGAGCCGTGGCTTGCTTAGGATCAATGTTATAGAAAGTTAGGAGAGTCTTTGAGTTTTTGAGACGGCAGAGGCACTTAAGGTCGGCGCCGGAGAGAGCGGAGCAGCAGTCAGAGGTGGGCGGCACCTGAGGCTGCTGGCCACTCACTGACGGGCGGCAGTCCATCAGCCCTTGTGTACTCATCCCACACAAAACACCTTCACCACTTGCCACTAAGGTCTCTGACCCTACAATGGCCATGGCCAAGAAGACCCCCACAACCACAAGCTTCTCGTTCAATCCTGCCATCTCTTGATCTGCTATTCTCAAGCTCTGTTTGATTTTGCTTGTGACAAATGTGGAAGGACTGTTAGGTTTATATAGAATGAACATGGAGGGTGCTGTGTCTCTTTCCACAGGGAAATGAGAAATAAAATAAGATGCGAGGTTCAATGGGGTGGGGCTGTTCAAGTAACTCGATGTTTGGGTATGCTTGGTCTTACTCAATACTTCATTGAGCCGAATCAAGTAAAGGTCAAATCCAACCTAGCCCCAACATATGCTGTTTTTTCATTTAATTTTTAAATTTTTTGAATAAGAGTCAAAGCACCACACAATCCAAACCCATAGTAGGTTAACCTATGGATTAATCAATGTATTTTTTTTCATTTTAATACTCTTTGATAAATAAACATTATAGTTGATAAGCTCCTACACTAAGCATTGAGAACCTGTAGCTTGGGATTTTTGGTGTTTACTCGATCTCCTCCACATAGTATCATGCGTGTGTTGCATGTGGTTAGTAATCTAATACTGTACAAGATAGTTTAATTATGTTTCTTCCTATAATATAAAAAAAAATATTCTTTTATGATTTAATATTTTAGAAAATCACAATTATAATGTCTATTAAAATATATATTAAATTTAAATCCTTAAAATTTGGTCTATTTGATTTAATTAAAACTGTAAACTATTATTAACATATTTTATAAAGTGATTTTTTTTTTTCAAAATTTTCATTACAGTTTTAAATTATTCTGATAAAATTTTAACACTTTGATTTCACTTATATATTTTTATGTAAAATTATAGTAAAAATTTTATAAGATATTAAACCAGATAGTCGTCAAAAGTTTTGATCTAGAGATAATAAAATAAAAAGAAAAAATTTATTTATGTATTATTTTTTTAGTGATTATAAAGATGTGTAATCACCATCATAATCTTCAGTTGCTAGCGGGAGCGTTGAAAAAGAAGGTGCATCAAGTTATAATGTGCTTACATCATCATCATCATTTTAAGCTTTGAATTGTTAAACTTTTTATTATGTTTGTTTATGGTGGAGTAGATATTTATCCTTGAAATTTATCAATGTATTTTAAATTTGTATTATGTTTTTTAATGGTTAGAAGAAGTTTTATTGTTGTTTAGATAATTAATTTTTAAAAATATATTTTTTTACTGTCAAAAAATGATTAAAGGGATGGATTTTGTAATTTTTAAAATAAAAAAATATTTAAAAATATGTTTTATTGGCTGGTTAGCCCCTCGATGGATTGACGGGTGGACAAAAATATAACTTATTACGAGGGGAATTGTGCTAGCTTACACCGCCAAACTCACAACGCATCGTGGGCAAGCTTGTTGTCAATTGCACGGGTTTAATGGCCTTTAATATATATATATATATATATAGGTATATATTTATCTATGCACCTCAAAATCATTGAAGCTGTGAAATTTCTCTATAGTTGAGCGCAAGTTAATTAAAAAGAGCATGACTTGACTTTGGTGGATCCTCAATACATTAATCGAGACAAACAAACAATATGGGCAATACTATCACGGGCAAGGTTAGGTGCTTTGAAAGCATGTGAATTAAGGGCACGATTATGGGGTTTCGGTTTGTCTTATGTGTATGCCAAAGCATTAAATTTCTACAATCATGTGAAATAATCACGGTTTATTATTTGCACGCGAACCTGCAGATTCCCACGACGATTCTTCAGAACAGAAGCGAAATGGGAAGATGACAAAAGTTTAGCCTGCAAAAACTGACATTACGACCAATCAGATGCTTTGATTAATTGATTCCATGCTGATCCGGCAAGAGCATGACAGCTTATAATACCAATTTTTTTTTTATTTTTTATTGCATGTTGTGCGTATAACTTTTTTTTTTAAAAAACCATGCAATAAGATCAAAATCAGGTAATGTCACGAATGATCTCTTCATGACCGTGTAAAAATTAATGTAATGAACGATCCACTGATTAGCCTCAAACAATATGGGTAAAGGGGGCGACATTGGTATTGGGTGCGTTCTGCCTTAGTCTTTAGGCTAAGTGCACAACTGGTCGGGGGCTAGTGCCGCCTTCTTGATGAGCCCATGACAGGGCGAAACTAGTGTATTTGTATGTGGTAAGGCTTGTCTCAGGGATTATGAGGTCCTCGAGACGCCACACGGGCGCCGTGTGCTGCGCCAAACTCTAAGCCCGTGATAAAGTGGTATAAGTCATAAGTTATAAGATTCTTATAATTATTAAGCGGTCTATCAAATAGCATAATATCAAAATTTTCTTGGGGAGTCTTATAGATTAGAAGATTGACACATCTATTGACTTCTTTATAAACATGATCTCCCAACCTCACATGGTGATATTTTTAATGTTTTTTATAATAGCAAAGAAAGAGTGTGGCTATTTGAAAGGTTGCAATCAATGAGAAATAGTACCTCTAAAGAATCTAAATAAACATTTATTCTAATAAACTTATCATTTCAATAAATGTTAAGCCCTTTCATTATAACTTCAAGAGATGGAGTTATATTTTAATATTTTCTTATTTCATCAGCTACACCTCAAATAAGGGTTTATACTTTATACATACGATTTTTCGGTTCTCTAAAGTGTACAAGTGCACTGACAATTAGAGCATTTGAGTGCCAAAGGGTCAAAAGTATAATATCAAGTTTTGAGATTTTGCATCGTGCCATGTTCAATCAACCAAATTTTGAATTATTTTACAAGGAATGGTCTCGGATATATGAAGCATGCTCTTGATCCTGTGGCATTTGGAATTTTGGATGTTGTCTTTAAAAAAAAAGAAAAAATTAGTTTAATGGCCTCAAAAAATATAGCTCTTGTAAATTATGAATGAAATTTTTAAATATTTTGAATGGTCTGTTCATAGAATTAATTAAATATATTTTACTTTTTTATTTTTAGATTAAATTTATTATTAAAACTCAATATATCTATTATAACTAATCCTTAACTGATTAAATCATTTCTTTTTTTTTCCTGAATATAAAATTATCGGTGCCTTTCTTCCCTCTCCCTGTAACATCCCAATTTAAATTTTAATAGTTAATTTGGGTTAATAGAAATTTTAAAAAAATATTTAGAGGTAAGAAAATTAGTAGAAAATGATTATTAAATCTAATTTAGGATATAATTCTAAATTAAAATAAAAAAATAAAAAAATTAATTAATTTAAAAAAATAAATAAATAAAATATTATTAAATTATTATTATTATTATAAAAAGAAAGAAAGAGAAAATGTATGAGAAAGAGAAAGGAAAGAAGGAAGAAAACATGAACGCTTTCAGTGCAATCATTGTATATTATAATAATATAAAAAAAGGGGAGAGAGAGAAAAGAAGAAATAATAAAAAAAATGTGTGGGACCCACTGAATTTTTATAAAAACTCATATGTTCATTCATTTCTTCATTCCTTCTTTCGTGCGTGAGCTGAGGCAGAGAGAGAGCATCTGTAAGCCAAGTTCATCGGTGCTAGGTTTTAAGGTAAGAGTTTTTAATAGGATATTTAGGGTGTGATTTTAAGCTTTTCAAGACTAAGTAAGTGTTCTAAAATTTTTTCTTAGTCATCCTTCTTCTTTGGTTTTTGAGTTTGTAGTGGTAGAAAATTTAAGATCTGGAAGAGGGATGAATTTATGTTGAATAAATATAATTTTTGAGGTTGTCAGTAGTATAATAAATGTTCTAGAGTATAAATTTATTGATGATCTTTGAATCTGTGGCTTATGGATCAAATTCTAAACTAGATCTGAAAATATATGTTAATTTATTGAGGTTTAGATGATTATTTGGGATGAGAAATGAATTATTATGGTTATAGGATTATGATTCTAAGTTAGAGACTCAATTTTTAATTTTTGGGTATTTTAGGTACGAATTTATGAAATAAAAAGAAAATTTTGATAATAGAAATTAGTTTAGAAGTTGATTTTTAGATTATTAATGTTTATTGATAATTAAAAGAGGAGTTAAAAATTTTACTTAATAGTATTAACTATAGATTTGTATTAAGATTGAGATTAGGAATTATGTTATATTTTTAATTTTATTATTAGAATTATTTTATTAGTTTTAAAAATTGAAACTAATATTTATAAATAATATGTTATTTGTAGATTGTATTATTGGTGAAGATTGTGGTGAGAGAGAAATTTTAAGGAATAATTTATTGAAAAAGTCATAAGGTAACCATGCTTTTAATTTGTGATTAGTGTTACTTCATGTTAATTGGGTAATTATTGAGAAAATTATGAATTTTGTAATATTGTATAATTGTGCAATATTATTATGAATTTGTTTAATTATTGTGGGAGGTGTTGGGAGACTTGCTATTATTGTTATATTTATGTGCCACGTGGTACGCCCCTATTGGAGCTCAATAGGTGGCTTGTAAGGGCTCGGGCTAATCTACCTTTGGCCGAGTAATTTAGCACCGAGTGAGGGCTACGGCTCGAGGTTAATGGAGGGATATAAGGATGGTTGTTTGTGTGTATTGTAATATTTCTTATATTTGTTGAAATTATATTATTTTTAATTTTCACTTAGTAAGCACACACTTAACTGTTTGTATACACTATCATAAATTGGCTTTGGTTACTGACTTTTGAGTCTCATTATGTGGTTAACAATTTTCAGGAGAAGAGCCACGAGTGACACGTGGAGGAGTCCCAGAGACTTAGTGGTATAGATCCACTGTTTCTTTTGGGTATTTAATTTATGATTTATAATGTGTTATATTGTCAATATTAAGGCTTTTTGTTTATTGTCAATTATATAAATATATAAATGTAATCATGCCTTTCAAACTATTTCTATTTTTGGTACAATTTAGATGACTGTAATTTTAATATTTGATTTACTTTGAATTGGTTAAAATTGTATGATTATAAGGCCAAATAACTGACTTGTGTTGAAAATTGACTAAATTGCTTATTTTACTTGTTGGGAGTATAAGGATGGACAAATGTGATTTAGTTTACTTGTTGGGAGTATAAGGATGGTCAAATGTGATTTAGCTTAATAGCATGTGGGAGATAAAA